TATATATATATATATTTTTTTGTACCAGGGATCGAACTCAGGACCTTGTGCTCGTGAGGCAGGCGACAGAACTACTGAGCTAAATCCCCAGCTGGGATTGTATATTTTTGAAGAGAGGGTTTTTAGAACCTATCACTCACTTTTTTAGGATTATCGATATATTCAGATGTTTGCCTTTTTTTCCTTACTGAATGTCTTTATTTTTCCATCAGTTTTTTTAAGTAATTAATTTAGTTTTTATCCCATTTCCCCCCTCCCCCTCTCCCCTCCCTAAGTACAGAAGCTTTGTTTCCATTTTTTCCTTCTATTTTCACTTTTTCTTGTCCCTTACTTCCTTTCTCCTTCCCTCCTCCCTTGTTCCCCTTCCCATTTGAACATTTTTTTCCCCATTTCCCAACATCCATTATACATTTTAGTCCTTATTTCTCCTTTCAGTTTTTCACACTAGAGAAACAATGTGATATTTAAACATGTGCATCTAGTTTATTTCACTTAAGAGTATGGTCTCAAGGTCCATCCATTTATCTATAGAGTCTGAAGCTCATCCTTCCTTATGGCAGAGTAATACTCCATTGTATAAAAAACCCCGATATTTTCCTTTTTGTCACGAGTCATTAAATGACCAGTTTTACCTTGGTCTTCAATTTTATTATTTTAAATTATATATTTATAATTAAAATAATATATTTGATCATATCCCTTTTCCTTAACTAATATTGCATATTTTGTGTTTTCTGTTTTCTCTTTTTATTAGATTGGTCCTTTAAATTATAAACTCTTGGTTTACTAGTCAAAGTCTGTTATGTTTTACATTTATTTTTGCTGATTTCTTTCTAAAATTTTTTTGCTTTATTTTCTTTTTTTTTTTGGTACTGGGGATTGAACTTGGGTCCTTGTGCTTGCGAGGCAGGCGGTGGACCCACTGAGATAAATCCCTGGCCCTTTTTGGTTTATTTTCAAGTTTTTGGTTAGTTTATTTCCTTTCAGTCTTTAATCACAAATACATTTAAGGATATGAATTTTTTCTGTATTGTTTGAATTCTGACATCCAGTATTTTTATTTTCAATGTTTTCTAAAATAATCTCTAATTTCAGTTTGATTTTTAAAATTTTTTTAATTTCTAAGTGATTTGATGCCTTTGGTGGTGATGTTAGGAGATTATTTTTGTTGCTGTTATTGTATTGGGATACAAGAAGTAGCCTAGAAGAGTACAAATTTTTAGAATTTGAGTTTTGTTTGGTTTTTTTTTTGGTACTGGGGATTGAACTTGGGTCCTTGCGCTTGCGAGGCAGGCGGTGGACCGACTGAGCTAAATCCCTGGCCCCTAGAATTGGAGATACTTTTTATGGTTTAATACATGATCAGTTTCTATAAATGTTATGTGAGAATCCATTTGAAAAGAATATTATCTGCTGAAAATGCAGAGTACTAAATATGTCACTTAAATTAGGCTTTTTTAAAAATTAAATTCTTTTGTTGGTACATTTTAGGTACACAACACAATTACATTTCTCATTGGGAATTGTATCTTTATATAATGCATCTTGGTTCTTATTATTTTTCCCCATTCCTAGCCCTCCCTTCAC